CATATCAACTAGACCGGTACTAATTTCAGATATTAAAATACTGAGCTGAAAAACAGCATTACAAATGTTGATTGATATTTTTTTTTCTCTCCAGGATTATGATGGGTTTTTTGAATCGAAGGAAAGCAACACTGTCTTCTCATTTCTTGGGCTGAAACCTAGCATGGCATCAAAGGTGACCATTATATTACAGACCTTTATGAAATTCCACTTGCAAACTTTAGCTTGAATTTTCTTTGAGAAAAATGGTAATTTCAGCACACACATGCTGACCTTTATTTTTGTATCTTTTCTTGTCAACCTGGCATTAACAAGTTAATCAAAACTGGAGCAATCAAAACAGAACAGAAAAGCCTTTTAGATCATACTTAATATATTATTACCTGCAAATTATTTTCTGACTTCAGTTAGAATCTATAATTATTTATCCTCTTTAAAATTAAAAATTGGGGAACAAATTGTGTTCTCAGTTACAGCCATATAAATTCAAAGCAAATGACATCACTGGAGTTATTCATGCGGTTACACTGCTAACCACAAGCAGAATTTGGTCTTTAATCCTTGGAGTATGTAAAGCTGATGATACAGAAATCATTCTCTTCCTTTGGAAATTACAGTGGCCTGGGAAAACAGCCAACCATCAGTCAATTTTTGGTCAGCAGGCATTTAAAAAAACAGTCACTTTGGGATGCTGGTGAAACCACTGGATTGTAGCAATTCCTTCTGGGGCAGTTAAAACATGAAGGATGTATATGGTATGCAAGAGACAGGTTAGATGCAGTTAGCTTCTGGGTAGTAAAGGCAATATATTTTCTGACGTTACTTCCTGATGGAACCCTGTCAGAGTCCTTTTTCTCTGCATCAAATTTATCTGTGCAATGGCTCAAATAGCTGGGGGAGTGTTTTTTTTTTCTCAGTGCCTCTTAATTTAGCTGCCCTCTTGGTGTATCGGAGCTGCATCCTGGGTATATTCGCATAAATAAGGATTCCCCCTTTAAAGGAACTTACTTGTTGCTTCTGAGGTCTGTGCAGAGGGTTGAGAAGTGCCGAAAAAATTTCTTCTGGCAACCAGCTCTTGAATACTCCTTGCTTCAAGCAAGAGTCTGAGGAAAAAGAGAAATCTGCCTGGCCCCAGCATCAGAAACAGCAGGTGCTTTGCTGTTGTTTTACTACAAAATAACCTGTAGCTGCCTTGGAGAGAAGTGTGCTACACAAGAGCGGCAAGTAAGAGTCTTAAGGAATGCTACTGATCACCAGCAGCACTTTGGGCGCATCTACATGTGCATTTATGTGTCTTTGCTACTAAGCATTAAGTTTAGTACCACATAAATGCACAGTAGCTGGTGCTAATGCGCAGTACCAAAGGCATACGTGCATGGTCTTTTTGTGACACTTAATGAGTAGACTAATTCTACTGCACGTTAGCATGGTTTTTGCCGTGATACATTGATGTGCAATAGAAGTAGTCTACTCCACATTAAGCATCTTGTGTAGATGTGCCCATTGAGACTTATTCAGGGTAATGTACCTCTGAGCACTGACTGTGGTAGTGGTATTACCATGCAGTGAGAGAACACCACAGTTTTCTCTCACTCCCTAATGTGCAGTTTATACTGTGATCTCAGGTGGTACTTAGAAAATTAGGTAACAACATTAGGATCTAAGACAGAAATGAGATCTTCCACTGATAGTAGTACTTAGTTACTTTGGGAATTTAGAGATACCATCCTCACTGCATCATGTGCATTTGCTATTTCATTTGAAACAATCTCTAGACCTACTTTTGGAAGGCATAATATTTGTTCGTGCCAGTTAATTGTGTGAGCAAATACATGCTTAAGTCCACTACATAAGGAATAATAAAGTGCATCTAAACAGAATGAATAATCAACATTTTTTTCTCTTATACAGAAGTCAGAACCCTAGAACCATCCTTTGGAAGTTTCAAGACACACATGTTCTGGATGAATAACCTTGTTGTTCAGCACATGACTGCTTCCCTAATGGATCACTGTGATAAAAGCCAATGCATGTCATCACTATTTTGCTTGCCATTGAAGAGGTGCTTTCCAAGGAAGTGGAGTTAATGAGGAGTGTATTCAAAATGGGATAAAGAGAGGGATATTCTTCCTCCTTTTTGCAAATACCCACTGTTTTTTGTCTTGTTTCCAGATTGCATTCCAACTAGCACTGGTATTCTGGTTAATGCTGAAGATGTAGGTGGGTAATGAGGAATGGAAATACAAAATCTGTATTGTCATGGATTCACACATTTGCCATATCTCCTTCCTATAGTTTGAAATTAGTCATTAATTTGTTGCAGCAATTACAGCTTTGATGGTTTTTGGAAGCATTGCTAGTCATGATATAGCAGGTAAAAATAGACTGAAATCTTCAGACACGTAAAACCAAGATTGCGATATTTCTGCCCTCAGTGTATTCAGTGCTGTTTATGCTAGAACACATTTATTGTAATAGACATGAACTACTAGCTTCTTTCATGAAAACAAACACCCTACATGACTCATATGATGATTTGCATCACAAATGGGTGCTTAAAATCAATTAGTAATGGAGAGAAGCTAAACAGACAGTGTTTTGACATATTTCTTTTTTTCCAAATGCAAGTAAGTTGTTCTAGTGATATGCCTGAAAACAACTGGTTTGTTGGCAAGTGCACTTTAAAATGTGAGGTTGTCAAAATCGTGTGTGCGTAAGTTGACAAGGCATTATCCCAAACAGTCACATAATAGAATCTCTCGTTTAGGTCTGATTTCCCACCTCAGATTCTACAGCTCTTGATGGGGCCTTGAAATTAGCTTGCCAAAACTGTAGGATAGATTCTTCTTCCCATGATTGCTTTGAAAAGCGCTTTACTCCACAGTTAGCCCCATTTGACATTGGTGGTGGTACTGGTATTGGTAGGACTCAGTACTGTAGGATGCTGAAACTGGCAGCCAAGCATGTAAGCAAGGATTTAGGTGACAGAGAGCAGAAGGCCTAGTGGCTTGGAGTGGGATCCCCAAAGGTACTGGGATTGCTCACATGTTAATGTTAAGTCTCTGCTGAAGTGCTTTGCTGGAATGGGCCATGGTAGTCAGGATAAAAGTTAAGGGTAAAGGGAGTAGACATTGTCCCTGTGGCTAAACAGTGACTGTTAAAAACAAAAGAAAAGAAAAACTGAAAGTAGACAGTTTAGCAAATGACTTGTCTATAATCAAGTCTAATTGTATTAGACATTTTGAATCTCTTCCCTCTGATAAAACAACAGCTATTGAATTTTGTTAAGTAGCTTCTGCTCAAGCATGGCAGCTTTACTTCACAGCTATCATGTAAGGATTTGACCCTGTTATTCCAATAAATGACTAAATAGCACATGGCTGCTGAGGTGCAGTCACAGAATTATGCAGTTTATTGAAGGCCAGCACTCCTATGAAATGCCCATGTACCAGAAGACCATCTTTCTTGTAAGCAAACAAGCAATCAGGAAGCAACCCACTCTAATGATTTCCATATGCTGCTATAACAAGTACAGTACCCTATGATGCTGGAAGACAGGAGCACGAGTGATTAACAAGGCATACTGATAATACTGCATGACTGACAGCCACAGCTGCCAACTGTTGCTGCTTTGCAGAGTATGTTTTCCCTTCTTTTAACTGGTCTTGTCTCAACTTGTCCCCTGTCCAGTCACTGCTGTGTTATGTTTCCCTTTACTCCATAAACAAAGGCCAAGAAAAAGCTAAAAGCTATGGAGAACAATTTCTCTCAAGCAGCTCCCATTTAAATAAAGGAGCTACAGAGGAAGAACATGCAGAATTTGGTCCTGTGGTTATACCTATTTCTTACTGAAAACCTTGCCTTTGGCACCTCCAGAAGAGGAATCCAGAGCAGGAATTAACAGTTGTAACATATAATGGCCTATCATAAAGGCTGTGTCAACAGGACAAAAGTCCCACGTTTTATTCAGTTTTAGTCTCCATGTGAAACACTGAAATTCAGCAAATAATGTGAGCACTGGTTGTTTCCTTTTGTTAAAGGGAACAGGCTCTGTACACCCCTTACTATGAATGCAAGAAAATTTAGTCAAGTAAATATAATGTACATAATTACAGAAAAAATTACAGAGCAGCCATCCTGGATTTATCACATACTTGATATGTTGTACATCTAGAATTCCCAAAAGTCCAACTTCTGAAAACACTTATACATGAGTAAGTATATGCATGAGTAGTCCTATTGGTGAGGTTCCAACTCTGTTAATGTTAATAGAAAAACTCCTATTGATTTCTGTGGGACCAGAATGAGTTAACCAATTACTCATGCATTTAAATACTTACAAGCTTGAGGTCTAAATTCTAATTGAAATTCAGTTGTATTAACATTACTGCTCAAAAAAATACTTCTTTTACCAGTACATGTGCCTAGACACAACTTTTGCTGACCTCTGATCTAGAAGACAAGTTTAGCTGCAAAGCTGTTCTCCTCACTGGCATGGAGTAGCATTATAAATGCAATAAAAAGCCTGTTTTTGAATATTAGCCTAGCTGACCTGATTAAACCATAACTTCTTGAATATGAGTTCTTTGTCTTACCACCTTATTTTTGTAATTACTAAAATAGGTAGCTTTCTAGTTTGTTACACAAAGGGTGCATTTACACAAGACACTTAGTGCACAGTAGCCTAATAACATTGCACAGTAGTGTGCTGGTCAAAAACCATGCTAAAACACTCTGCAGTCAGCGTCACAATAAAACCACACATCGGTACTACTGCTCATTAACTAGTTACTGTGCATTTAGTTAGTACTTCATTAAGCAAGTACTAAACTAAATGCACAGTAACTACTGTGCATTATTGAATGTGTAGACGTGCCTAAAGTGACCTAGATTTCCTTTTAACCAATGTTATAATTATACATCTCAACAAATTTAAAACAAAAGCCTCATTGAAGCTAGAGACAGTAGATGAAAGAAATGACAAGTATTACTTAAAAAAAAATTAGCAGTACAAAAAATTACATCAAAAATGAAATGGTCCTGATTCTGAGCCTGTCCCAATAGTTGTCCCAGTTCAAAATAGGCAGAAGATCAGTATCAGGCCTACTATGAATGAAACGCCAGAAAATGGCAGAGTTAATGCTGTTAGTCTCATTAAAGAAATGGGAATTTGATTTGGTAAGAAACTTGGAATCTGACTTAAAATCCTACTCCTGTTTTTAAATGTGTGCCTACATGTCCTGTATGCTTCACTGAGAGACCCTGTTGGTTTCCCAAGGCCAGAATTTGGTCCTTACACAAAACCAGCAATGTTCCCTTTTTTGCCTTGGTTACCTTGTAGGACATCAGTGCCATCCACTTGTATTGGCTTACTGTCGCACAATTGTCAGAGGAAGCATTTAATTTGAGGGGATGTGCTTGAACATTCACTGTACCAGTGCATTTAGTAGGTATGTTTATTGTACTTTAACAAGTGAAATTGGTGCCACAAAATATTGGAGAGTGCCTTGCCTGAAGTAGGGCTGTTACTATAGACGCATCTTATTTGCATTTAGACCAAGAACTCAAGAACTTGTAAGTTTGTTGGAGTCAGTAAAACAATTTTAAAAATGAGTGTGGGGCCTAAGAACAATAAGACACAAGTTGTAGGGCTGAAATGCTTTTTGGATATTTTTTTCTGACTTTTGGAGGACCATGCCCCAAAACATGGCATAGCTGCCTACTGTGCAAGTGAGACAGCATTCTAATGCCTAGGGCCAGCTTAATAAAGCTATTTAGATGCTTAAACTTCCATTGATTTCAGTACTTGTTTAAGCATCTAAGATGCCTAAATTCCTATTTGAATCTGGCCTCTTAAGTCCAAGGGACCAAACCAACCTCTTCCCACTTCCTCTCCAACTGTTTTAGCACTTAAGTCTACATCTCTGAACTTTATTTTTGCACCTGTAAACTTACTTGGGTGACAAAAATTCTGCTACAGAACTTGCCCCCATTTTGACTGGCCTGGACATATCAGCATCTGTCTCCTTATGTCAGCCCATTGGGAGACACAAACTGGGTAGATTTGGCCCAAAGTCCTGTGAGGGGCCTGCTGAAATCGCATCTAATACATGGAGTTTGGTGCTAAGCAGAGGGGGCACAGCCTGTTTCTTTCAAAAACACAGCTGGAGGAGGAAGGGGTGGTTCTGGTCTCATGTAATACTGTTACAGCTTAGAGTACATGCAGAGCATGTGTTCCTTCCTGTTGCCCAAGACTGCATTTTTGTTGCACTTTGGCACTGTTTGAAGTGGAGAGTTGTAGGATGCTCTTCACACCAACTTATTCTCTTGATTTGCTATTAGGGTACTCTCCTGGCAAATGGGAGGTGCAAGTTTGAACCATCTCAGGCTGAGGAGGGCCTAGAACTCCATTTTTTTACTTTCTGGGCAGGTGCTCTTCTGCTTAGTTATTATATACAAAATATCTTCTACTCCTGGCATCATTTAAAAGAAAAGAGCAAGCCAGTTGTCCATACCCAGATGGATGACTTAGGCCTCTCAATCCAGGAGCCAGTTTCAAGCTGCAAATCCCAGTCTCCCATAGGCACCTAACTCAGGGCTGCAGTCGGGTGCCAAAGCCCAAGAAAGAGGTGGGACTGCAGTTCCCTGCTCTGGATAGGGTCTCCATGCTCAGCTTCCCTGCCTGTGGTGAGTCCTGTCCTCACCCTGTTCATCACACAGGGACCTTGTGACTTCCATTCCAGGAGCGGAGCACTTGATAGGTGTGGCAACACTGAGCATCACTGTGCCTAAGCCCCTTTGTGAATCTGGAATTTACACTTCATTTTTAATAAAAAAAGAGAAATGTTTTAAAATAATCTTCTGGTTGATTCATATAAAAAAATATAAAAATAGGAGCCTAAAGATTCCCTCCCAGGTCCACTGTTAGGCAACACTAACTGATCTAGTCACTATACTGCCCCCTGCCCGGAGCTCCAGTTAAAAGGAGCTGCCAGACACTCAGCAGTTCTTAGACTCAGCTCACTTATTTAGGAATCTTAAGTTTTTGACAAGAGTTTAAGGCAGTGGTGCTCAACCTTCTTGGCTGGTGCCTGGTCTGTCCATGGTCTGGATCTTGCTAGTGGTTCTGATCTGGCACCTGTCCCATCTGGCTGTGCAGAGGGGGGTGGGGAAAGCCTGGGTGGGGGGGTGTAGCGTGGCCCCAACACAACTGGGCTGGGAAAGGGGATTTGACCTGGCCCCAACACAGCCTGTGGTGGGGAGGGGGTGTGGCACACTCCAAGCTGCGGCACAGGATGTGGGCTGTGAGACTTTGGCAGTGGGGAAGGGTAGCTGTATTAATTCCCCTGCTTCCCCGCTGCCAAATTTCCTGACTGGTGAGGAGCTTAGAGGGCCAGATGTCATGGCTGTGTGGCCCACGTTTGCCCCGTGGGCTGGAGGTTGAGCGCCCCTGGTTTAAGGCATTGCAGTTGGCATCCAAACTGCTTTAATTTTTGTTTCCATTTGGCAGAGAGAAGCTTTGGCTTAAAAGAGTAAAGGTGGGTTTTTGTGAGATGTTATATTTTTGGGGGTTTTGTTGTAAGTTTCTCCTCTTTGTCACCAGGAAATGCCAAATCTTGTTAGTTTTAGGCTTTGGATGCAACCTGTTTACACCAGTGTAAATAAGTGGGGGGAACATTCAAGATAAAACCCTGCATTAACATAACTCACTCAGAGCTGGCTTAGAATTGGTCCAGGAGAAAACCAGGGATAAAAATATACTGGTGTAAGTGCCACTAATGTTAGTGTTGTGTGTTTTCAGCTTATCCTGGGGTAAGCATTTGCTCAAGGCAAATAGGCTATTCCATACTCCCTGCCTCTTAGTGGTGAGCCACTGTAATATCCATCCTGGAAACATTCTCTACCCTGTGACAACTGGTCATGTGTCAGCGCATATGCCTTGTGTCCAGGCCCATATTTGCTTGACTAGTCCTGCTAATTTCATTAGAATTACTTGCCTGAGGAATGTAAGGAGGATATGGCAAAGAATATTCTCTTATGTAAAGAAAAAGAAATGTAGAAATCAGAAAACAGATCAGCCTATTAGAGATTGGCACCATCTCCCCTGCCAATGGAGGACTGAGATGTACTGTTTATTTTCTAATGCTTTGTCCTGTCTGATATGTAAAGCCTCTGGTCCACACGGTTCCCATAATATCCCTGTGACATCATACATCCAGAACTGATGTTCTTTGTGACAGCATAAATGTTTTGTAATTGGTGGGTTGGGGAGGGCAGAGTAAAATGTGAGCACATTTTAGACAGTTTGTATAAAATCATGTGGAGTTTCAAATTATATGTTACAACTCTGTTTACCTAATAAATAATGTTTTAAATGAAAGAAGTCACTTGGACTCTGTAGTAATGTGTGCCAAAGAAAATAGAGAAATAATATTCTTAATCCTCATCCAGCCCAAATTTCCCTCCAGCACAGTGATTCTAAACCAGGGTGTCAGGGCACCCTGGGGTTCTGTGAGATATTTTCAAGGGTGCTGTGAGTTACTGCACAATTAGGTGTGCAAACACCTACATATGACTCATAAGACAGAACCAGAGATTTCAAATAGGAATCTACAGTGTCCAGAACACTGACCTCTTGTGTCTGACTTCTTTGCAACAGAACAATAGCTCTATTATTTTCTGGAGTCAATAAATGAGTGAAAGTTAAGGACTGGCATTTTTTGATGGGTGCCTTGAATTCCTTGAATGCAATGGTGCCTTGAGTCCAGCAAAGTTGAGAACCACTGCTCTAGCAACAGTCTAGTTCAGTCAGCCCTGGATGGATGGGAGTGCCACAGTACTTCTTTACTACATCAGCCCTTGAGCAAAAAGTATGCATCCTCTTCTGCAAGGTACTGAGCATCCTTAGTCCCTTTTGGCTTAGAGGGAACTGTGATATCCTGCATGCCTTCACAAGCAGGCCTAAGTCCCAAAATTAAAAAAAACACAGGAGCAACTCATTGGCTTACAGCATATGTTTTGATACTACATTCATTGGAGCATCAAGGAAACTAGGGGCAAACTCTTGGGTGGTAAATTGAACTCAGGGGACCTATGATATTTTGTACCAGCTGAAGAAAGGGACCCCCATAGTGGGGATTATTATATACTTAATTTATACAGCTCAAGTTTATTGTGCTTATTTGGAATGAATATAATCAGGACCATTCCAGCCAGCACACTGGAATGAATATTTACTGTGGTACTTTGGAGTTCTGTATATTTGGTTAAATTAACTTAAATGAATGTAACTTGCACCTTCTTTCATCCCTTAAAGTCAGTATAAGTTACATCCATCAGGGTGCCCTAGATCACTTTGTAACATAGAATTTACACCCCTTTATATTTGCCCCCTGAAACTGGCCCATTACCTCTGGCCTAAACATTGCTGTGATTCCCCTGTATTCTGGTTTGTCACCTTCTATGAGAAAATAAATACAAGAGGACATTAACACACAGCGGGCAGTCAAGCTTACAGAGAAAGCTTGACCCATACAGGAAAGCAGGTCAGATCATCAACTGATCTAAATCAAAATAGTTCCTCTGAAGTAGGTGGAGCTGTCAACTTATAGCAAGGTTTGGACTGGACCAAGTATATCTAAAATAGAAAGACTGGAAGGAGTTTGGAGATTCAGATTTACTATCTGTACCAATGAGCAGAAGCAGCTATATTTTTGCTGAAGAGATGGCAATTAATCTAAGCTTATACAAGGGAAAG